CATTTGTCATGTTTTATCACATTCCAGGCTGGTAAAGGATGTATCACTGTTCTCTTCAGGGGCAGTATGTGAGAAAATAAAATAAACATTATCACACAAAGATGTTCTGAACTGGTGTTTGTAGATGAGGTGGCAAACTTCAGGGGTGAGAAGCCTCATGATTTACTCATGTTTTCTTCCTCAGAATCAGATGGAGCCAAAGCTGCCTAATTGCAGGCAATTTGTCATTTTCCACCAAGCCAGGAGTGGGAGCCAAAAGTACCCCACATTGCACCCAACTTAGTAAACATCATAAAGTCATAATGAATACTTTAAAATAAGGACTCAGGGCTGTTCAGGCAATTCTGAAGTATATTCTCCTTACATGTGTTTCCAGTGAAGCTGAGACATGTCAGAGCTTGGACTGATCATCAAGGTTTTTTCTGGGTTTTATTTATTTATTTTTTTGCAGCAACTAATCAGGGAAACAACTGCCCTACTTTCACATTCCACAGCTCAACAGATTTATGAAGAGAACATGTTCCCAAAAAATAATCAGGGCTGCATCCAAGGTTATTTATGCTGAAGGATTTCCTGGGCCACAGTTCAGGTTGAATCCAGAGGATTCTTGTGGGCAGGACATACATTCCTCAAGCCACAGACAAAAAAACAAAACAAGACATAACCCAAAGCCAGTCCCTAGCATTGTTTGTGATTACTGTAACCACAGCACCATCTACTGGTATGATCTACCATTGGTGCTGCAATTCAGTTATCCAGGCTTCTTAATTCTTTTAGGTCAAAAGAGGTAGATTTTATCCATACGTTGTGGGTAAGCAGTGATGGCATCAGATCTTTCTGAAGCAAAAGGAAGAATTGTATATGAAGCTTGAGGAAGGGGATCTATAAAGGATACATTGGACAGGGTAATCTTAAATCACTTGTTAGTATGTTAATATCAGCCATAATGCTGACATGAAAAAACAAACAGAAATGATGAAATTCCATTAGCTAGCACTAAACATTTTGCTTATGATAGTTATTTGAAACACAAATTTGGAAAGAAACATTCAGTTGTTCAATGTTTTCTGTAAGCCTGTTCCTACATAACAAGACAGACAATTTTGCCATCTATTTTAGAGTGGACTACCCTGTTTACAGGTAGAGGTTTCTTGCATTATCTCCTAATTGAAAGTACACATTCACAAATTAGAAATCCCAGAATTACAGCTGGAAGCTTCCCGAGGCAAAAATGGGCCTTTATTACAAAATTCTGGTTCCTCTCATAAGCTTTCTTTGGTTGTTGAGTAGTTTCTAGACCTCACTGAATATCTCTGATTAATAAACTACCAATTTGTTTGTTCAAATACATTTTTTTTTTAAAAAAAGGTAAGGATATCTTCCTTTGTCTGGCATTTCTCTGTCTCTCCAGTATGGGTTCCCAATAAAAAAGATACCTTCTTTGCTGACAGGCAGCCTTTCTAGTTTTGGGTTGTCCTACTTTCGCTTGGGTGTTATTTGCCATAAAAAGAAGTGCAGAGTAGAAAAGCACTTGATGTTCTTCAGGGGGTGTGGAAACTGAACAATAACATTACTACGTAACAACTTGCCTCGGGCAAATTACTTCAGCCACCCATGTAGATAAAGAAGACTCTGAATGTTACGGGTTTATTTCTTTATTTGTTTGTAGATTCCTAATCTACTAGCCACTTTTTTTCCCCCTCCTGTGATTTTCCTTGAAATGTGATATAAGGAACAGTGCCAGTGAGGCTACAAGTTGTTTTTAATGCTGTGTAGTTAATTCAAACGGTGTAGAGGTGGAGGGTTGTATCCAGTGGTGACTATCCAGGGAATGGAATCTGTCAGTGGAACAAACTCCCAGTTTTTTTTTCTTTTAACACCCTGTACTCCAGCCTCCCAAATCTGGTGTTGAGGATGGGGGAGTATTTGGGGGCAGGTTTGAGGGAAATGTGGAGCACTGCCAAGAAAGGAGAGGAATGAAAACTTCAGCTGCACAAGGGGAAAATATATCATACTGTGAGCTACCTTTACAACACTGTTGTCTTTGAATGTATGTGTACTCAGCCCAATGCAAATCTAGATGCATTGACACCCATTTTATTTCTAAGGTAATTATGTCTGATATTACTGCTGTTATTGCTGCGATAACTGCCTTTTGTTTCAGACATACCAGTTATTTACAAAACTAGCCAATTCCCATCTTTTGCATATTTTACCTCCCATAGTTCTTAAGGAAAATGTTATTCCATAATCCTCTGCGGTGAATTTGAAGTCCAGAAGCATTCCTATTTTTTTCAGTACTGTTCCCAGTTAATATTCTGAATAACATCTGAATCTTTAGGTGACTCCTTCACTAGTTTAACTGCCCAGGGGTGTGGGTGGGTGGGAATGATTCCTAGTTGCTACCAGATCATGATTCATGCACAGTTATAAGTAAGCAGCACTTTGGAGTTGTGTGAGTATGTGTGAAAATATGCTAAATTTTGTAAGTACATTTAAAGAGGTTCATCTTTATTTCCTAAGTGATTATCAACTGAAATGTAATTATAGTTCAAAGTGATAGTAACAGTTGTGCTAAGCTTTGTTTATTTATACAGCAGCACCTGCAGATTTTGCAAGCACAATGTACAGTTTCCATGAGACTTGCTACAACTATTTTGCCTTATTTGGATGTACAAGATTTCTCTGTCTCACCCAAAGGACTGGCTCAAAGCAAATGGTTTTTACCTTTTTCTGTAAAAACATTAGGAAAGGCATTAGATATTTTCAAGAAAGCCAAGGATAAATTCCCCAAGCACAAAATAGTTTGTACAGTAGAATATCATATTAATTTTAGGCAACAATAAGTAAAAGGTATATTATGAGAAACTAAAATATGGCTCGAGTGAGAAGGTTCATACAAAATGGTACAATTTTGACTCTATAAGGATTGGCATTCATTGCCTGAACACAGAAGTAATCAATAGATACAGTGACACGCAAAGGGCAATGGCTGAAATCCAGCTGTTGTTGTCTTTTGCAATTCAAAGCCAATAGCTGTAGTTACAAAATCTGTGTAGACACTATCAGTACATCAAACTCAGCATGCAACAGATAATACCTACTGAGATTTCTTAACTTTCAGCATTTTCATCTAAAAGTCATGCCATTTGCATAACCATGCAATAGGATTCCATCCAATGTTTGCAATCATACAGCTGAAAAATGATGGGGGATCTCAGTCTAGAAGTATAAACCAATGTGAGTGTTCATCTAAAGGTGCAGTTTTTGCCTCGGGTTTAGCACACTTGAAATTACTTTAAATATTTAAAGTAAATATGTAAAGCCAATTTGCATTTTGCATTTTTTGTCAGAAAGCGTGTGTTTTTAAACAGTCATAAAGGGCTTGTTTATTTTAAATCAAACATGAGTGCAGTTCATTCTGAATCATTTTGGCATATGTGAACACCTGTGTCGGGGTAAATTTTCTCTGTGGAGTATGTCAATTATTGTATGACACCGAGGACTAGTCTCCTACCCCTTCGCAACTAGTGAAAGACAGCAGTTTCCTTCCTTGGGGGAGGGGAGTTTAGCTAAATGGCATATTCAAGAAGAAGCCCAGAAGCCCCCCTCCCACAGCTGAGGTTTCCAAGAAGATTTGCTATGCATATCCTCTTGGATCAGGGACTAATTTCCTTTGCATGGAATAGTGCCTGCAGCTTCGCACCCAGCACCTCTTCACTGCAGCACCTCCTGCTGCTGTTGTTCTCCTGTTCCCTTCTGCCCTGGCTTACCTTGACAAGGCTTTTCCTCTACTCCCCTTTCACCCTTCAGCAGGTTTCTGGAGATTACTGGGAAAACTGAGTCTAGAGACGCTGCTGGCGAGATGGAGATGCACATCACTGAGCATCAAGCAGACTCTGAGCTGTCACTTCCCAGCTGTAAATGCACAACCAACAAGCAGGAAGTGGTAGCTTTGTTAAGAATGCCCACAGTTCTGGCCTGCAGAGAAGCCTCCTCGTGTTTCATTCATTCCCTCCTTCTATCTAATAATGTCTCACAGAAGGATCATGCCTTTCCCATCTACTTTGGCAACATGCTGTGTCAACTTTTCCTTCAAGAAAGTACCAAATTCTGTTCAAAACCATCCACTTGTAAATGCAGTGCTTTTAAAGCCCATGTAGTTCCCGGGAATAATATACCATACTGCTTTTTAAAGTTGTCCCAAGAGGAAGTACGTGCCAACTGAAAAACCATGTGACTTTCAATTGATTTCAAAAACTCCGATCCAGGTACTGATATCTTTCATCACTGTACCAAACCCTTATGGGCAATTGCCTCTCATATCGACCTGCTTTTGGTCTATTTACCAAATCCTTTTAGTCTGAACGGGTTTACCTTCTTTGCCCCTGTGATTTCATTACCAGAGAATGTGAAAGCTCAGAACAATGAGATTTCTGGCCCAGTTGGACATAGCTGAAGCCAACGAACTAGCAATTTTTGGCAATTGTGTTACTTTTGGAATTAATGGTAGCGGGTGGGGGAATCTTACATTACAAGAAGGGGCAAGAGCACCATCTATTGAAAAGGAAGTGTTTTGCACAGTTGTAGCCAAATATGCACTCTGCTTTCAACACACACTAGTGAAGTAAAGCAATAATACATATTTTCTCCCCACACTGTAATTTAAGCACTGACTGTATAGAAAAGTACCCCAGAAGAACTTTTTCCTCATTAAATAGCTAATACTTGTTGAATGCTTGATATATTTCAAAAATTGTTTTGCAATCCAATGTATTTGTGTGGGGGGTTTTTTCACTCCCTTTTAAAGCTATTTATTATAACAATATGAAAAAGGCATTTTAATAGGACAGGACATATGTCAGTGGTGGCTGGTCCCCATTCTGCTTGGTAGGGCAAAGGGCACGGCACCCAATGTTGGCTCAAGCCAGTGATGATAGGCAGAGCAAAGAGCACAAGTAAGTATTCATATACATGCACACAAAAATCCACGCCTCCTCACAGATATCCTCTATGGCACTTTTGTACTGTACAGTACACAGGTTTTATGTGCATGTTGGTATTTGCATGAAAAATAACCAGGATCGATTTCCTGCGCTGGCAGGGATCTAGACTCGGTGATTTCTGAGGTCATTTCCAGCTCTGAAATTCTCTGATTCTATGATACCTCTGTGTGGGATGTTTGCCAAAAGTGGTAGTTATGACATCTGGTAATTTTAAAATAACACTTATGAATGGCACTGTGAGCTGATTGGTCTAAAATGGTTCCTGGTTGAAGAAAACCTGGTTGTATAGAAGGGTGTATGAGAGAGACAGTCTGTCAGAGTGTTATTAAGTGCTCTTAGAGTTGTGAGGTAATCTAGAGTAGAGAGGAAGAATGAGCATGGTTTGTTTTGTGAAGAAGCTGGGAACAATAGTGTGGTTTTTTTAGTATTTCTGTCAAAACAAGTATCTGCCTATGCATCTGGAATAAGTAATGTTTAAGTTCTAAAGAAGAAAAGTAAAGGCTTATAATTATATGTTGGAGAAACTGAGGAGTGGAAACTTTTTTTAATACAGTATTTTATTTTTATTGTTCACTGAAGTCATATAAAAGTCATTGTACCTGTGCATACTGCTGGCCAGTACTATGGGAGATGGTTTATGTTGTGTCACTAAATTAAACAAGGCAATCTTGCATTAAAAACATTCTTAGTTTTGAAAGGGCAGTGTAAAGTCAACTGTTAGCTCAGGGAGTATTAGCGCAGCAGTGTAAAAGGAAACACTGGCGTTGCCTGGGTTGGTGGTTGTGGCGATTGGCCCTGTCATCCCTGCCGCTCACGCTCAAGAACTTATTTGCACGAGCCTATTAGAGAGCTGGAGAGGCGGAGTCAATTGATATATGAGGCTTGGTTGAAGGAGGAGGAGTCAGATAGGGATTGGAGAGGAATCAGATAGAAATAGGAGTGAGATAGCAGTGATATAGGGATGAGATAGGGATGAGTTAGGAACTGGTTAGGGAACTGATTAGATGATAAGAAGAATTGGCTAGAAAGAGATAGGTTGGTGATGTGTTCATGAAACTGTAAACACAGAGAAACAATGTAACGAGGGAACTGATAAGCTAAGGCCAATGAACTTTATTTACCTGAAAGATTTCTAATACTGTTTGAAATACTGTTTCACTTCAATAAATACGTTTTGTTTGTTCACAAGACAAGTGTCCAGTCATATGTTAATGGTATTGTGGATTCAGATAATCCACTGGTGGCAGCAAAAAAGGAACATGTCTGTGGGCCTTTGTGAGGGAATAATGAAAAAGGGACATGGGATTTGTGACAGTGGCAGTTCAGGAACCCAAGAGAGGGAATCCCTGTTCACAAGTTTGAATGGCAACCCCGGAGCTGGTGGGAAAGTTTGGGGTCGAGGGTCGTTTGGGTGACAGCATGTACAGGTACAGAAGGTGTGTCAATGCCACATCCACCCAAGGAGGCAGGCAGGCACTCAGACACAAAGATATCCTATCATCCCACCAACTTCATTCTCTCCACAACTCAGCTCAACACTTATATGGAGCCCCATATATTATACCAGTTTTGGAAAGACAGCAATCAAAATTTCTAAGAGCTATATTAAAGCTTCCTACAAGTGCATCAAACACAGCCATAAGGCTGGAAGCTGGGCTAGTAACTGCTGAGGCCAGGCTATGGATAGCTGCTATAGCTGATTGGCTAAAATTGAATCATAATACCTCAGGGCTAGTCCATTTGACATTGCAAGATTGCTTTGTCGCCACATGGCGGAAAATGATGGAACCTAAGCTGGGGTACTATGGATTCTCACAACACTACCTATTGTCAATGAATATTATCCAAGCAAAAAACTTGATTAAGCAAAGGATCTTAGATATAGAAAGACAACATGATATGAACAAGGCCAAAGGATTTATTAAAATAAACCCTCTGAAAATATTGCTACCAATGCTGTTCTTAAAGGATTTAGAGTATCTTGAAACTAGAAGGGCCTTTATGTTATTGTGCATGGATTTGTTGCCATCTGCTGTGTTGCTGGGAAGGTACAGTACAATAATACACCCTACGAGAGTCAGTTCTGTGTATGTAGTGAAGGGACTATAGAGACACTGAGTCATGTCATCCTAGAGTGTAAAATTTATGAGCAGACCTGGGAATGGCTCATAAAACCTAGCATACCTCCCTTGGATGGCAGAGATAGAAAGGAATGCCTTCAGAAGCTTTTGGAGGATAAGAATAAAGAGGTAACAAACAAAGTGGCCAAATTTGGATGGCTGGTGATAAAACTAAGGGATAATTGACTACATAATAAGGATAGAATAGGAAGTATTAGGGATATGGTATAGATTATAAAGCTGATTAGAGTCTATATAGTTATCAGATGTATAACCTTATTGTTGTTGTATTATTTTATTGTACATTTTAATATATATGTATATGTTCATGGTTCTAACAGCTATTGGCTACAATTTTTTTTAATGTTTGGGGAATACCTAATAACCCATCTGAAGACCCACCTGAAATGACTTGGTTTTTAGAACTGAAATATGTGTACATTTTAATCCTCTTGTATTATGCTTTTAATCCAGCATTTTGTAGAAAGTATGTATTTGTATTTGTACTTTTAAACTTGCTAGCTCTGTGGTTGCTCAGCTGGCTCCAAGCATGAGTATATATTTATATTTATACCTATGTTTCAAATCTCTGGAAGTTGGATGACTAAAGAACGAATAATCGCTGATTAATCTACAACCTTACTATTTTTATATCATGTTATTGTACATTGTAATGATTATGTATACATGGTTTTAATGGCCAGTGGTTATAATAAACTTTTACATTGTGGGAATACCTCATACCTCATCTGAAGACCCACATGAACTGAATTGGCTTTAAAAAACGAAATTATGTGTACATTTTAATCTTCTTGTATTTTGTTATTAAGCCAGCATTTTGGAGAATTTACACATTTGTTTTTGTACTTCTAATCTGCTAACATTACGTTTGTTCAGCTGGCACCATGCTTGTGTAGATATTATTATTTGTACTTAAGTTTTAAATTGGTGGAAGTTGGATGACCAAAGTGGTCAAAACAATAAAGATTAAGACCTTAAGATGCTCAGATGGAAGACAAGGAGTGGGGTGGGAGAGACCATCTGAGATCACCCATGTGAGGAAGTAACTTCCAAAGAATGGTGGGAAAAAAGCATAAGTTAAATGTGCCCTATAAGCAAATCTGAGAGAGGGTAAGAGAGAAGGGAGATATAGTTCTGAAGCAACACCTAATGGCCCAGAATGCATGTAACCTTTAGAGGTACAACAAAGCAATGTTGCATGTGGCTCATGTATTAGCCTGGTATGGATCTAAATGTTTTTACGTCTCTGTTTTCTCCCTGTAAAGGTGTGCCCAGTGAAAAAGTGCCATGGTGGATGATAAATAATGCTGTTGTTGATAGGCAATTCCCTCTGGTTGTGGGGGAAGTGAGTTATTTAATTAAGAGCAGCCCTTCTTGTATGCAATAGAAGGGAACAGACACAAAAAGATTTTCAGTGCTTAAACACATTCCATATAGCAACAACTTTATGCATTTGCTTGACCCAGTGCAAATTCTTTTACTGAATTATCTTGTTCCGCCTGTGCTTCAGGCAACTGCTGGGCAGTGGTGAGGAGCACAGATGAATCAGTTTCTCTGTTACGTCAGAGACCACAAGAATTTTGAACAATCCTTGCAAGCCACTGATTTTTTTCACATCAAAGACATTCTTACAGATCACTAAATATTCTTTCCCCCCTCCCAATTCCACTACTGCCAAAGCTCTGAAAGTCCTTGCTTTTAATAGTGTCTGATAAGCTGGAAAATTAAGTGGCAGCTTGATGCCCAGTTCAAGGACAGTATATGCCTCTGGGTGACAGATGAGATAGAAAAATATGCAGCCGCATGCATCAAAACAAACCAGAGGGCATTTGTGCACGAGGTCCTTCAGTTAAAGCCAGAATATCACTTTCAAAGGACAGGAGTGTGTGGTTGCAAAAGCAAATTGAAAAGTGGCTGGACATTCTAGGTCAAAGGCCGAAGACAGGTTACATTAAAAGCAGAGAGGTTGGAAGGGAGGAGAAGGGGAAATTGCATGCCAGAGAGAGAGAGGCAATGCTCGTCCATTAACCAGCGTATACATGCAGAGCATGGAAAAATTATACCTTGGAATCTGGGTGGCAATTGCTCAAAAACATTGTGGTTGTTCCTTTTATTTTATTTTCTTCTTTTCCTTTACTGGAGAATCCATCCTTGGTGCAGTTAGGTACCCTTCTTTCCTGCCTGCCTGCCTGCCTGAACTTGGTATAGTTACTTTGGCTGTATAGGCTGAGGGATTATGAAAATTTTAGGCCAAAAAAGTAACTTTCCTAAGCTTACTCTCCTCTCTTTCTTTTTGTACAAAGTCATGAGAG